TATATATCCAAAAAAATACAGTGAAGTGATAAAAGTATCTCATAGCAAGAGCCACACAGCATGGTATCACATATTTTTTAAAATACTATGTATTGTCTCCATATACATATATAACCATGTAAATACACAGAATGTATCAGGAAGGCCACATACTAAGCAGATAACAAGGGAAGGGAAGGGGGCCAAGTTACAAACCTAGGGGTCATTACTTTCTTGAGCAATTAAAAATTAATGTAAAGGTAAAAAAAAAAAATTACAATTGTTAAGAGAAAAAAAAAACTAAGTACATATGGAACTCTAATCAATGAATTGTATGATGAAGCACTTAGCAAAGTGTCCTGATGTCTGCAATTTATTTTGAAAAGCATTAAACTGTAAGCTGGATTAATGGATGTGTGATATGTATGTGATAAAGGAAGTATAGTAGCAATTTGTTAATGGCAGAATCTAGGTGGTGGGTATACAGATGATCATTGCATTTCTAGTTATTTCAACTTTGCTGTATATCTGAACATTTTCAAAATAAAATACTGTGATAAAAACCAAATAAATGACTGCTGTTAAAAGTTTCCCAGTTATCAAGCAAAACTATCTCAAGCAGACCTATCATGAGTTCTATCTCCTCCCCCAGAGATTTTGGCACAGATGTTACTTCTAGTAAGCCCTCTAGAGCCCTCCCATAAGCTGTCGAAGACCGATGAAAGGCTCTTCCTCCACATTACCGTCTTTTCTCAGCCTTAGCACTAACTTCCCTGTATTGTGCAGTCTCTTCTCCAGACAGGAACTAGGGTGCACTGTGCCTGCTACAAAGAAGGCCCTCAATAAGTCTTTGTGAATGACGTCGCCCAGACCTTGTCCTCTCTGTCATCCGGGCATCCGGCAAAAGGCCAGGTCCACAGTAGATACGCAATGCTTCTGGTGAGATCAACGGCCAGCCCACCCTTAAGCCTCTTTCTCGCCCCAGCGATCCCTGGACACATGCCCACGCCACCCTCCCCATCAGGACCTTGCCTACTACGGTCCCCTTCCTCGCCCAGTCGCAGCTTTCGCCTCCTCCTTACCCAGCTTGTCTCCCAAGGACCCCTCCCTCGCCCAGCTTCCATCCCCTTCCCCCACCCTGCCGCTCCTGGTTGAGAACACTTTTCCCTCGCAACCCGCCCCAGCTCAGCACCCCACCCCGTTCTTCCCGCACCGATTTTGCTGGGCCGGGCATCTCCGCCTGTAGCGGCGGCGGCGAGGAGAGCGGCCAGCGCGGCGACGATGCGTGCACCGGGGGCCATGGCGGGCGGCAATTCCGACTGCACGCCGGAGACCTGGCGAGCAGGCTGGCGCTGGGCTCACAGCCCCGCCCCGCGCCCCACCGGCCGTTCCGCCCTGCAGACTCGCTGGTTACAGCCTCTCATTGGACGAGCATCTGTCCATCTCCAGCAAGAGGCCCTCATTAGCGGCCTCGCTCTCGGGGCTGGCTCTGTCACTAGCAGCTTCCGCATCCCGCCTCCTGGGTGCTAGCTCTTCATTGGCTGGCTCATCCTGTTCCGGCGCAGGTGCGCGTGCTTCTGGTGCTCAGCATCAGGACCAGGGTCCAGCTACGGGAAGATTTGTCGAAGAGAAAAAACTCAAGTTTTTGACGACCTCGGTCAAGGCCAACTCTGAGAGTTTGTTTCCATACTCTACCTTTTTAGGTGGTTGTGAGTCACGTGAGAAAAGGAACGTGAAACGGCTGGGCAGTGTCTACAAGTGCTGTAAATTGCTTACACAGCACGCAGGCAGGGTGGCTAACTACCCTGTGCATTTGCTGAAACAAGGCCAGATGCTTTCGAGACTGCTGTTACGTGTATTTGCAGTTTCTAGTTTAGATTCCTTGCCTCTACTTAAAAAAATAAAAGAGAAGGGTTTTATCCACTTCCTTCTCAGAGTAAGGAAAGGTAGGAGGGATAAGCTTCCATTTTCACTAAGAAAAGAGCAGCTCAGTGTGGCTAATTTATCACACTGTGAAGGCCAGATTCTCACAGAAAATAAAGTAGGGGACGAGCTTCAGAATAAATAAGGAAAATCCATATTTATTTAGTCAGACTATGGCTAAGAGACAAAAACAAGGTCTTCAGAGAATAGCAAGAGAGTTGAGAGCTGGGATTCTAAATCAGCTTTTTTAACAGGACCAAACCGGATTACAGTAAAGTTGTAGATGAATAAATGTTTCCCATAGTCTTTTTATTTTGGTATCATTAATTAATATACAATCACAGCAACATTGTGGTTACTAGACTCCTCCTATTATCAAGTCCCCACCACATACCCCATTCCAGTCACTGTCCATCAGCATAGTAAGATGCTATAGAGTCACTACTTGTTGTGTCCCATAATCTTTTTTTAGAAATCTTTATGGCAATATTTCCATTTCTAAAGACTCAAAATATCCCTTTATATTTTTTTGTTAAACAACATTCATTGATGACTTTGTACCGAGTTCTCTTATGTGCTGACTTAATCTGATTCTTGTAGTTTTAGTAGGGTAAATCATATGAACTTCAATCCTTCACACTGATAGTGTGTAAGCGTATCAAAGTAGTAGGACAAGTTCAAAAGAGCTGTAAGAGGAAGAGCAAGAAGTGTAATTGTGGCCAAGGTGCAAAACAACTATGAGGCTGGGTGACTTTATCAGTTTTCTATTGTTAACAACCCATCCCAAAATTTAGTGGCCAAAAGTAACAATCATTTATTTTGTCCGTAAATCTGTACTCTGGGCAGGGCTCATTGAGATAAGCTCATCTTTGTTCCATGTGGTGTGAGACGGGGCTGTTCCAGTCAGGGCTGCAGGATTTACTTCAAGATGGCTGCTTGTCAGCTGAAAACTCAGCCATGGTCCTCAGCTCCACTCCACAAGCTGCTTCAGCTTGCTCTCTTGGTTTAATGGTGAGTGGGCATCCAGAAATCAGCATAGTGACACTTCTACTGTATTCCATTGGACCATCACAAAGTCCAGATTCAAAGAGATTTGTAGTCATGTTTTAAAACCTCCTCAGTGAACTTGTGAATGTGGGCAGTCTGAGTGCATAGAAATAAGAATATACTTACTGACTGGTACTGGGAATATGAGAAACAATGGATTTAGAGCCAGGGTGTACAGGTCACATTTGGAAAAATGATGAAAATACAAGGCAAAACTGCAGGAAAGGCTGGCTCCATAAGTTCACTCTGCCAGGAAGTTGGGTATGTGGAAGCCAGGCTGAAGATCAGAACAAAGCCACATGTCAGTAATCCAGTTGAGAGGATGCTCAGAAGCCCAGCAGTTCAAGTTGTGAAAGCAGATAAGACAACTAGAACCAATAAACAAGCAGCAGAAAATAAGACAATACCCAGATAGGAAGGCAGAAACAGATACCCAGACCTAAGAAATATACAGGAACCAGAAAGAAGCAAGTTGAGGGAGAAAAACAGACAAGACTCCAACATCAAGACAGGGTATGGAATACCTGTAGTGTATCCACTTGGCTGGGCTGCTGTGAAATCTCAAGGGACCTCCACTGAGCAATGGTCATCAGTCAAGTGACCATAACGTGTCAATATACAATATGAATCAGGCGACAGACACTAAACATGTGAACCCCAGTGATGTCAATTCTGGTTTTATTAAAGTTGTTTCTCAGCATTATAGTTCATCCTTAGTTTTATTTGGATTTACTTTATGTTTAAGAACCTTTCCTCATTTAACAAATTCTTTGCCAGGAGAGAGCACCAAGTAACTTATGACAATATCAAAATGATTCCTTTATGACAGTGAGGAAAATCCCTAAGACTTGTGGAATACAAGTACAAAAACATGACTGGGACCCAAAGTCACACAGGTGACTTAGCTAGAATTTATGCTCAAATCTGCCTACCAAGCCTATACTCTAGTATGGCATGCTGGCTCCTGCACGCCCTTCAACTTTTTGAGATACCTACAGTTATAACTCCATCTTCTAAATTTATACTTTTAACTGTAAAACTACTAAATAGTAAAAGAAGCTAAAATTATTTTCAATCTGTCTCCTTCAAAAGGACGTTGCAAGGCATATCAGAAAACTCTTCAGGTAATCAGAATATTCCATATCTAAAATTATGGGTCTTCTAATCCTGATAATGACAGCAAGTAATTCAAGAACACATAGGTATTTATAATTGACTTTTTTTGGTCACCACCTGTCAAAGGAATGAAGGTAAAGAAAGGGCATTACTATTGTGACATCTGGCTACTCATTACATTTACATTGTGCACTTGGTGAAATGCCAAGAGGTTCTGGTTTTAAAATCTTACCATCAGTCTTTTGTTTGCATCTTAAAAGCATGTATTTGTTCTTTCAAATGTCTAAATCTCGGGGGGATGGTAAGGCCCAGTGAAGAATGGCTTTGTTGATACATGTATATCGTGTGTGTTAGAACTATCTGATGTCTAAGAGGATAACTTTTACCATTCCACAGATGGGGTCACAGAGTTCTAATATGAATGGGTTTACTTTATGGGTAACTAACTTAAACCTAAACCTATACAACCTGGACATCTAACAACTTTTAATTGTCTGCTGGGGACATATTTGTATATTCATCATAGAACAGTTAAATCTTAAATGACTGACGTTAATATCTGGTTGTTCTTTATTCAAGTTCTCACTGAAATTCAATTTACTAGTTTCAGAGATTTTTGAGTCTACTAAAATTTTCATTTCATTTTCATACTTCAGAGGAAGCTGAAGGGCGAGATTAGATAATCAAGGCCTCTTCTAACATAAAAGTATCCGTAACTGACCTCCTTTCTAAAGTCTGATGTATCATTCGATTCACTCATTCACTGAATTAATCTTTTATAGAACACTAGCTATAGGTTAAGACTGAAAGAATAAAAAATATACATATAGGCTCATTAACTCTAGGAGGTCAGTACATAAAAGGGAAGCTGAATGTTTATACATGTGACATAAGACAGGTAAGAAAAATAGAAAATTAAGCTTCTCAATGTAAGAGGTAGTAACTTGTGAATACCAATTAAAACAAAATTCAGCCTAAGTAAATGAAATGAGAAATTGTTGAGAACCTAACATTTCTGTCCTGATTACATCCTGACATAATCACATAAAGGATCATAAGGTAAATATGACAAAGTGACAGAGGATTTAAGGGCTGATGGAAACAGAAATTGTGGGTAAAATTACCTATGTAGACAGATTTGGGTCATTAGCTGCTGGTGTCACCTCAGTTTCCCTGGCATAAATACATACCTAGGGAGGCTGAAAATTATTTGAAGATAACTCAGCAGAGAAAGCACAAGGTTTCTTGGCCATATTTGTTTGAAAGGGACCTGGTATCTTAAATTTCTTGACACTTCCTGCCTTCTAAGATTTGCCTGGGCCTTTAGCCCTTGTAAATGAGAATTGGAAAGGAATTGAACACAAGGTCTACCTGGCATGAACTACAAGAACAAAAGATGGCTAAAAGGAAAATAAAATAAAAAGAAGTCTTGAACATCTTTGCGCATAAAAATCAACTCAAATATCTAAATTCATACAACTATAAAGCTTTATCATCTAAGTACACAAATGTTTAACCAATCCCTACCACCTTCTTGTCCCACAAAATACAAGATGCTATACAATTCTTGCTACAGGGATCACTAAAAAGGAGTATTTTGTTGCAAATACATAACATATATGCATTTCCACCTTTTAAAAAGATTTTGGATTGAAAGCCATCAGACTACCAATTTAAAAATAATTTTCTTAAAACATATTTTGATAAAGGCCATAGGAGCACCTGTTACATTATTCATGTGCCCAATGGCAGGACTTCTGATGATGAGACCAAATAGGTCACATTAAATCAATAGAGTATCTTAGAAATAAAGCCAATATGACTAAATCCACAACAGATTACATGAAATACCTCATGTACAATACAAACCTAGTTTAATAAATAAAGGGAACACAGATAGATGACAGTACTCTGGGAGGATATTCAGTTCCTTGTGGCTCACTCACAGTCTTCTCTGAGACTCCACTGCCACTTCCACCTGGGCAAGTCTAATGGTGCGGCCATGAAGCTTGTAGCCATCTTGCCTTACTAATGCCACGGTGCCAGGCTGCACCCCAATACCAGCTGGCACATGACAGATAAGTTCATGCTCATGAGGGTCATATTTGTCACCGATGGGTGTCATCTTTTCCAGGCCATGTTTGGCAAATACACTTTTCAGCTTTGCTTCTAAAAGTGACAACCCTCGGAAGATCTTCTCCAGAGTGAGCTTCTGGTCCACAGGCTGTGTTTCTTCAGAAATGCACTCTGTAGTCTTCTCCAAAATGTCCGCCACCTCCACCAAGTCCTTACAGAAACTCTGAATTCCTACAGAGAAATGACACTTCTTTATTGTTTGTGAGGAAGTCACTGTCGTATGGTGGAGGCCCAGGTAAATGTATAGTATACTGGATACTCCAGGATGTGGCAGGATTGCCACCCAGGACTCAGGGATCATCGTCAGTGATTACCACCTCAAACCACCTGACAAGCCAACGCTTCTCTTAGCAGGCATAGGACTAAGAAGCCTATCTGTAAATGGGAAGATGCTTAGAACCCAAGAACTAGGTAAGATTATATACAACTGGCTCAGAAACCTGTCCTTCATAAACCTGACCATTTTTATATGCTTCTTGTATTTTTGTTACTATTTACCTTTAGTACTGAGTTGTGTACATTTTGAAAATTCTTGCTTGTCTCAGTTGTGCTAAGGCATGCATTCTCAATAGGGACAAGGTTTTAGTATTTCATGGAGGGGGGGGACAAAAATGAAAGAAACAGTTGACAAGACTGTGCTAAGCAGGAGTCAAAAGTGGTTTACTATTGAGGACTGGCTAAATAGGAATAGGAAAGTAAGACAATCCATAGATAAGGTGAAATCTCCCAACTGCCTGCTATGAAGTTATATATACTTGCTGGAGATGGGCTACAAAACTTGCCTAGTCTTTTTAGATAGAGTCACACAAACTATTATAAGAGTAAACTCAGTTGTTGAGAACTCTTATTACTCCCAACACTGCATCTTGATTTTTTTTTTAGGGAAATGATAGTAAAGAATATCATCATTACATTACCTATGATAACGTCAAAGTCCTCAAAGGAGTTGGTGAGGGGTGTAAGATTGTTGATCTGGTTTTAATCCAGGGACCGGTTTAAGGCCCTGTGCCAGAACAGGCAGCCACCTTAACTGCACTCAGAAGTAAAAAGGAAGCAGCAAGAGATTATAGAAGAGAGATTTCCCATAATTACTGCCTGGATTCTCAAAGGACTGACTGACAGAAAGGTAGGAATTCAACCTTTAACTTCTGGGTGATAGAGATCCATTATAGCTGCTTCTTTTTTTTAAAAAATTTTTATTAAGGTATTATTGATATACACTCTTATGAAGGTTTCACATGAAAAAACAGTATCGATACTACACTCACCCATATTATCAAGTCCCCACCCATACCCCTGCAGTCATTGTCCATCAGTGTAGCAAGATGCCACAGTCACTACGTGTCTTCTCTGTGCTACACTGTTCTCCCCATGACCCCCCACACCATGTATACTAAACATAACACCCCTCAATCCCTTCTCCCTTCCTCCCCACCCGCCCTCCCACATCCCTCCCCTTTGGTAATCACTATTTCCTTCTTGGAATCTCTGGGTCTGCTGCTGTTTTGTTCCTTCAGTTTTGCTTTGTTGTTATACTCCACAAATGAGGGAAATCATTTGGCACTTGTCTTTCTCAGCCTCCGCTATAACTTCTTAAGCAAAACAAGTGCAATAGGATTCAAATTCATCTAATAATAACATACATAATGGATTTGAGGTGCTGGGGACATGACAGACGGGCAGGAAGATATAAGAAACAGGAGAGCTAACTGAATTAGTCTTGGTATAATATAGTCTGGCATGTAAGAGGAGGCAAGAGAGAGGAAAGAGTGAGACAAGCAGGTATTTCCAGGAAACGAGACTGGTGTGATCAAAGCTCTATCAGATACCTCCCAGACTCCTGCTAGGGACGGCAACCATACATATTAATAGCTGTTAATGAGATCAACTGAAAAAGTACAGGAGATTAGCCAAAGGCTTGGAAATTATGCCAGTAAGATTAAAATTCCACCCAAGAGAAAAGAATGCCTCTGACAGACTATCAGGGACATCAAAGGCAACCCCTGGCTATTCAAAGGAAGACTCTTAACAGAATTTTGAAAGCAGTGAGCTTCTGGGCTGACTTGTACACTTCCATGGTACAAAGAGTCCTGGCTCCTAGTCAGTAAAGTTGTGTTTATTTGGGTAAACAGAAGCCTAGGTTCTCTTGTTTGTATACTGGGGGGTTCGGTCTCTTATTCTATTCTAATTGTGTTACTTTTATAGATGGCTGGTGTCTGCATCATTTCTTAGGGGTAGAAAAAAAGAATCTCTGTGACCTGCTTAAGAGGTGGGTTACTGAGACAAAACTGTAGTTTGCCCAGGAGTCACCATGCAGTATTATATAACAAGTAACAATAAAAAAACTTTCTACTTTTTCTATGTCAGTGCTCACTGAGCAACCTCCAATTTTTGGAATATTTCTGGCCGCTAGGAGGAAATGGTCTAAACAATGACTTATGTGGCATGTTTTGCTAGACACATTCTGCTCTAAAAATTAATGAATGAGATTATCAAATTCTTTTGAGTTTAGTGAATGTGTGTTTGTTCCTGGGAACCTTATTAATTCTTGAGGAAACTGATATAAGCCAGTTCCTAACTTATCAACACTCGACCTCTGGTAAGCCAACTCACCCTGCTCCCAGTAAGCAAGAAGTCTTCCTAAGTCATCACAATTGGTCTATGTTTTACAGAAATCCCCTGTAGCTCAGAGGTCAGCAAACTTCTCCTGTAAAGGGCTATGTAGTAAATATTTAAGGTTTTGTGGGACAAGAAACAAAAATCATGGACAAGAAACAAAAATCACAAAAGTGAAAATAAATTTTCAGATATTTTTATTATGGAATTCAGAACTGTGTATATGGACTAACAGAAGCCTGTAGGCTGTAGTTTGCCCAGCCCTGCCCTGATAGTTGGAAAATGTAGATGAAAACTTGGATGAAATCCCAGGATTACAATTTGGGGGTCAGTACATAGCTGATACTCAAAGCTTTGAAATGTAATGTCTATAGCACTGAAAGAGAAGCAGAAAACTGCCAAAGAACTGGGGTTGGACAGTACAGAACTGAAGAGAGTCCCATGCACAAACAACAGATAAAACCCAGAGAACAGGAAGTAGTATGATACAGGGGAAGGAATAATACCTTAGGGGTCAGGAGATTAATAGACTCTTATCTACATCTATTACCAATTAATTTTTCAGCTCACTGGTGAAAGGAGATTGGACTAGATAGTATCCAAGGACCCCCAAGCACCTTCACTCTATTATAGTGAAAGTATAATGCTCCATATTAAGTTGTAATGTTCCATATCAAATTACAGCAAGTAATCATAGATTTGTCCTCTACCCTTGAATCCCTGTTACTCAACTGGTTACTTTCATGAATACATTTAGAACAAGATGTTGGGCATTTAGTGAAATATTTCTGAAAGACTCTGAAATTGATAAGACTGGTCAATGAAAAAAACACATGTGATCTAGCAGAACCTTCATGGCTATCTTCTTCTATATTGTCTAAGCCTTTGTCTTTGAGTTATTTTATAACTTTGCCAAGTTGCAGAATACTGATAGTAACGCAAATGGTTCTTGTCCATAGTAGTGAAAACTGTCTGGTGGAGGTAGAGTTGATTACTCCACTATGGATATAGGCCAATATTGCTTTTATAAAGCAAATTTCACCATTCCTGATTGCCTATGTGTCTGCTTTTGGGATTCTCCAATGAATACCTTACCTTAATGATTCACTTGTTCATTAATAAGTTAAACAGGTTTGTCTAAGCACTAGAATGTCAAATGTACATTCCTGAAAAATGAAACAACAAAGCATTATTTTAGCAAATGGTTCACCTGACAACATTCCCAATAAGCACACAGAAACTTATGAGAAGAGTGGAAGGGCAAGCTAGAGATCAGCTAAGGACCCAGATGTGTTCTTACTATGTTCAGTGTGCAGAACTGCCTAGTAAATGTCATTAAACTAAAAGGCATTTAAATTTTTATTGTCAATAAATCTCTCACCAAATATCTTGGCGTCTTCTACATATCTCTGGGTCCGCCTTCTTATATTTTCACCATTGGCTACAGCTCTCTGGTATCTCATCTGAATACCAAAAGCAAAGTCAAAATGATGAGAAAACACATGCTGACTGGTGAAAAAGAATGTTTTTGCTTACTTTACAAGTTTTTTCCTCGCAGTAAGTTTTTATTAAAAAAATGAGGTGTTGTAGGAATCTTAGATCAGCTACTCCAAACCTCTGGCCAAAGCAAGAACCTGATCTTATAGCAGCCCTGATACATCATTTATCCTGCTAGTCTACACATTTAACACGTTTTCAAGCTCATCAGCTTGAGATGACAAAGCTTTATTTTTCACATTCATCCATCACTGACACCCTCAAATGTATTTAACTGAACTCAACTCTAGGACAACCAAAAGTAAGTTTTAAAAATGTGTCATTTATTGGGAGGGGGTTATTTTAGCCCCTTTAATCTTTCCCTTTCATTCTCGTAATTCCTGGTTCCTTTAATTGCTCTCATAAGACATGCTTTCCAACCATCTTATCATTCCAGGTGGTCTTGCTTTGGAGTTACTCTAATTACAATCTCCCTAAAGTGTGTCTGTCAACCCAGCAGCAGCAGAGTATGCCAGATGCAGTCTGGCTGGCAGAGTATGATGATAAATGACCTCACTCATTCAACATTTACTGACTGTCTACTACATTTTAGGCACTGTAACTCTTTTGAAGCTACCAAAATATCAGATATCTAGGTACTGAGACACAATACAAACTGAAACGAGATTACTATTCTTAGTTATGTTTTGAACTACCACAGTACTTTGCTAATAATATACCTATAAGAGAGTAGAGGTAGGGTGAGGGATAAGAAGCAAATCAGAGGAAACTTAATTTTAAAAATTGACATAAAAAACTTTTACTTGGATATTAAAACCAGAGAGAGGATATAACAGATAATATAAAATCTACTCACTGTTAAATCCTGGACTTCCTTCTCCAGTTTAACAGCTTTTAACTTTAAGGCTCGTTGTGCAAGAGAGGGCCCAAGCTCATCAGGAGGGTCCTCAGAAGTGCAGGCCTCACCAGCAGTTCTCTGGGTAGCAGTGCTGAAAGGATGCAGACATCCCCTACAGTGGGAGGGAGGTGGTGCATGATGAAGAAATGCCATCACATACAGACAAAGCTACAGCAAAGTTCAGAGATTGGCAAGTTTCCCAGATTGACTCTCTAGACAAAATGTTTCCAGTCACAGTAACTTATAAAGTGCTTACTAAGTACCTGACAGTGTTGATGGGGCTTTATGTAAATTATCTTTTTATTTCCCAACATGAGATAAATACTATGATTATTCCTATTTTACAGATGAGAAAACTGAGGCTCAGCAAGGATTCTGACTTGCTCAAAATCACATAGCTAGGATTCTCTTAGCCAGGATACTGAGCACCAGGCAACAGAAATTGCCAGAAGTAGGGACATAAAAGTCAGCAGGAGAAAACCAAGTTCTAATACCCAGAACCAGTGGGGCAAAATCAGAAGGGGGAATTCAAAACACAAGCTGTATATTTCTGGTTGAATCATTCATTTTACAGATGTGGAAAATTAAGCCCAGTAAAGGGACCATATCAAACTGGAGTTAGGCCTAGAATTCTAAAGCTTTCTTGACCACAAACACTTAAGACTTTTAGGTAAGAGAACCTCTGCTAAGAGAAACTCTGTGTAAAAAAAGTAAGTCAACTAAATACTTACAAATGGTATGTGTTATGGACTGTGAACTGTAAGCAGGTGAATAAAATAGATTCTTGTGTTCAATTTTGTTTGTAATCTAGAATTTTGCACAGCTAAAATGTTTGACATATAGTTCAGTTTACATAGGAAGAAATTTAGAGTAGGAGCTAGTTTGTAGATCTTGGATTGTAGCAGTTCTGACTCCTTCAAAATGTTCCCATTATATCCCTCCTGGATGCTCATAATTTGAAGCAAAATCATCAAAAAAATCAATCTGTGACTACAAAAGGTCTTTAAAACACACAGTTTATTTATATAAACTGGCATACAATAAAGAGTAGTTACTGAGGTGACTTCTGAGCAAAGGTTTACCGGGGATAAAGGAGTTTGCTTCAAGAAACACAAGAGGGAACAGTCAGTACAAAGATGTGGGCAAAATGTCTTTTATCTTGCAGACTTTACAGGCCAGCCCTGAACTCAGTTATTGTGATCTGATGTCAGATTACATATTATTCCAAATTTTTGATTCAGAAAATATGGTCACCATAGATCTGGAGTAAATCACACAGGGTAAAATACCTCCCTCTTTCTATACCCGTAACAAACTACATTTATCCAATTTAAAGTAGATCAAAATATTCTCAGGGCTAGCTTAAAGGTAAAAAGGCCAGAGCTGCAGTCTGGAAGAAGGGAGTTGTGACTGATCCATTCAGTTCCTACTGCTTCAGAACTGGAGTGGGTGAAACTTAATCAGATGCTATCTTTTTTCTTCTGGTCACTTCCCTACAAGCCCTAGGGCAAATTGCTGAGGTTAGGTGTAGTATGTTAAGATAAAAAGGAGGCCACAGTTCCGCAAAATTACGATTCCCCCACGGCTTGATTTACATTTCCGGGGTCTAACCTTACTACCCTCTCTCCTCAGTCATTTTTACTCTTTCTGAGGAAGAAACAGCCGACGAGGAAACAGCCCCGGTAAACTACACAGAATCGTCCCTGCGAATAATTCACACCGCTTGCTATTTAAAAGGGTCGCTAGAGGCCTGGTTGGCTTCCAGTCTGGGTTCCACCATTTCCCCAGTATTTAAGTTTGGGAAAGTTACTCAACTTTTCTAAACCTCAGTTTCCCTGAGTAAACGTGAGAATAAAAATACTCATAGTTTTGCAGTCGATGTAAAGCTAGGGGTAAGAGCAGCAACTCTTCCTCTTTCTTTGTAGAAACTCTGCCTTTCCACAGGCAAGTGGAAAGGCCATCTGGAGACCTAGTCCAACGCCCTCCTTTGACCGACAGGTAGTTTGGGCCGGGTAAAAGTCCACGGACTGGCCCAAGGTCACACAGTGGGTCAGAGGAGGGAATTCCAATTTACCGGCAGACAAGTCAGCTGGGGAGAAAAGGCAGGGAGAAGTACATCCCCAACTCGGGAGAAGCTCCGGGCCTTAGAGAATTCCCACCTCCGAGCACATGACCTAGGATCTTTCCACCTTCCTGGGCCTGGCAAGGAGGCGGGGCTATGAGCCTCAGTTTCCCTTCGTAAAATGGGGCCGTGAGCTCATCCCTTTTGCAGCAGAGAGTCTGGTGGTTCCTCCCTCTCGCTCCGCGCCGACAACCGACCCTCCGGCTTCCTCGTTCCACAGCGTCCTCAAGTTCCAGACACCCGGCCAGCCTCGCTTACCTGCCATCGGACGCGGCAGTCGAGGTCAGGAGGCGCTGCACCCGCCGCAGGGCCGCCCACAGAGACCGCGCGGCCATGTTCCCCTTCTCGGCTGACGAAATCAGCGCAGGCGCACTCCCTGCAAGCGAGATACCACGTTTCCCGGCAGCCTTCGCGGGGGTTTCCCTCTCAGGGCCCAGGACCTAAAGCTACATTTCCGGTTGTCCTCGCGCGCTGGTGGTGTTCCGTATCCGGTCTTCCCGAAGATACGCAGCACTTCCGGTCCCTTGTGTGTTTGCCGCGTACGATGGGTTCCTGCCGCAGGTTAGGCTCTGTGCTATTCGTGGATTCTGTGGCGAACAAAGGGGATCACAAATATACTCCCATGTAGCTTACGTGAAGTTATAGACAACAAACAAATGCAAACGCGATATACAGTCAAAACATGGCTAGTGTTTCAAAGTGTTGGGCATGGCGCTGCGGAAGCCTAGGATACGATATGGCCGCGTGGGGAGTTTTCCCAAACGAAGTAGTATTTGGACTGAAAGCTGAAGAATGAGTAGACGAAAAGAGGTGGAAAGTGGTTAAGGTAGAGGTGAACAGCATCTGAAAGACCAAGGCTAGGAGAGTATTTCCAGTTAAAGGCTGAAATACTAAGGAAGGGGAGGGGCAATACGGGACACTGGTTAACCCTGGCCAGACCACGCGAGAGATTTAAAAACATTGAAGCCTGACTCCCTCCTCTCTCACTCTTTTCATCCTTCCCCACCCACCACGAATTCCCTTGCTTTCTGTTTCTCAGTGTGGTGTATTTCCCCATTTCCCGGCACTAAAATGTAATCTCCATTAGGATGATTTTTTTGGTCTGTTAGTTTCCAATGAGCAATGGAAGAGTGCTTTCATGTAGTTCAAACATTTTTTTTTTGTTTAATGAACTTCACTGTAATGGAAACACACTACAAACTCTTTACATGCTTAAGGGGTTGCCTTGACTGCTGTTTGGAAGAGATTGCTTAGTCTGAGAAAAGAGGAAATCAGCGCAGGCGCACTCCCTGCAAGCGAGATACCACGTTTCCCGGCAGCCTTCGCGGGGGTTTCCCTCTCAGGGCCCAGGACCTAAAGCTACATTTCCGGTTGTCCTCGCGCGCTGGTGGTGTTCCGTATCCGGTCTTCCCGAAGATACGCAGCACTTCCGGTCCCTTGTGTGTTTGCCGCGTACGATGGGTTCCTGCCGCAGGTTAGGCTCTGTGCTATTCGTGGATTCTGTGGCGAACAAAGGGGATCACAAATATACTCCCATGTAGCTTACGTGAAGTTATAGACAACAAACAAATGCAAACGCGATATACAGTCAAAACATGGCTAGTGTTTCAAAGTGTTGGGCATGGCGCTGCGGAAGCCTAGGATACGATATGGCCGCGTGGGGAGTTTTCCCAAACGAAGTAGTATTTGGACTGAAAGCTGAAGAATGAGTAGACGAAAAGAGGTGGAAAGTGGTTAAGGTAGAGGTGAACAGCATCTGAAAGACCAAGGCTAGGAGAGTATTTCCAGTTAAAGGCTGAAATACTAAGGAAGGGGAGGGGCAATACGGGACACTGGTTAACCCTGGCCAGACCACGCGAGAGATTTAAAAACATTGAAGCCTGACTCCCTCCTCTCTCACTCTTTTCATCCTTCCCCACCCACCACGAATTCCCTTGCTTTCTGTTTCTCAGTGTGGTGTATTTCCCCATTTCCCGGCACTAAAATGTAATCTCCATTAGGATGATTTTTTTGGTCTGTTAGTTTCCAATGAGCAATGGAAGAGTGCTTTCATGTAGTTCAAACATTTTTTTTTTGTTTAATGAACTTCACTGTAATGGAAACACACTACAAACTCTTTACATGCTTAAGGGGTTGCCTTGACTGCTGTTTGGAAGAGATTGCTTAGTCTGAGAAAAGAGGGAGAGAAGCTGTTGGACTGGTCCATGCAAGGGAGAGCTCTATTCTGTCCTGGGGTCACCTCTGCAGAGAGACCTTTGTAACTACTTAGTCTAAAGTACCTACTCTTTTAGGTCTCTCCCGCACATTTTTGTTTTCCATCTTAGCATTGTATTTCTTTTCTGTTTTTCCACTAGAGTGTGAGCTTCATGAGGGTGCTTTCTTGTTTATAGCTGTGATTTCTGACATCTAGTACAGTAGGTGCATATAGTAGGTGCTTAATAAATACTTGTTGAATGAATTAATGATATTGGTCTCAATGGAGATCAGAAGAAGTGGATGAATTTTAGACTTAGTAGGGAAAACTGACAGGATTTGAGGATCAACTGACTGATGATTAGGGTTGAGGACACTTGGGGTTGCATGACTAGTTACTGGATAGTCCCTATGGTCAAAAAACGTTTTTTTAAAGGGATGTAAGTATGTTTTTATTCTGAATTTTCACCATAGTGGCTTACTTGTGCAGGAGTTAATTAGGTTATATTTTCTCTCTGCTTGTCTGAATTCTGTGAGGACAGAGCTGGAGTCTTTTGCATTTTTATATTCTACCAAAGGTTCAGCTCAAATGTGTTGTAATCAACATTTTATGTTTCCTTTTGGCCTTAGAAGGAGAGTAACACGGTGTAAAGGAGGGATTATAATCCCCTTTTATATCTGAGAAAATTGTGGCTCAGAGATGTTGATGAACCCGTTCAAGTTCTCTCACGGAGGATCCAGTGACACTAGAAATCTGATAGTCCAGACACTTGGCAGTGTTGGGAAGGATGGACCCATGAGCCTATACTTTGAAAAAAGACACCCAACAAGGAATATAACAAGAACTGTCATCCATGCTTTAGCCATTTTGCTTACACTTTTCTTAG